CAGTGTGGGTATCCCATACTCTTAATGTGCTGGAATGCTCCGCAAGCCGGATGCAGTTGTGCCAAACTTTGACAAATCAGTAATTAGGAATAATTACTAAAATGTTTAAAATTATCTACCGCTACAGTCAAAATAATGTTTCCTAAAAATGCAAAACGACAAGTCATCTGATACGGAGATAGCAAACTGAGCCCGGTTTTGGGAGAAAACTCAGAGCTTATAGCCAGCTGCACAGAAAACTTTCGAGAGAGCGAAAACCATCGAAAGCTTTACAGATGAATGGCTAATTGTGTCACAAAGTGCTACCGCTCGGATCAATTATGAGTGTTCCAGGACGAGAAACGAGAAACGAGTGTTCCAGGACGAGAAACGGTCTGGATCAATATGAAAATGCAACTAACGACAGTATTTTTAAGATCACCTGTATAATCTGGTCTCTTTCTTCACGCAACCTCTTCAACTCTTCGTCTTGACGCTTGAGTTGATTTGTACATACGTGATTCTGAAATTCGCCTAGGATCCGTCTCATGTAAAAACATAGCATGGAAATGAATTAACCTGTTAAGGAATCCAATGAAACAGAGGAATTTTTGTTTTTTGTGCGAATGAGAAATTTTATAAATCACTGAGTCAAATTTCATAGTTTTTATTTTTTTATTTTTTGCGGCAAGTGTATTCATCTGCTGCAGTAGTAATAAAATCGAGTTTCTGCAGAAGGAACGCTTCAGCAAAATGACAGTTTTTAGCAGCCAGGATTATTATCCCTAAAAACCAAGTTCCTCGCTCCTTCCGCAGTTGAGCAGTATCTTGAATAATAACATAGCAGTTCCTTAAATTTGTCATCTCTTTAGTCGAAATGACCAGCACTGGAGCTAACGAATCTTCGATTTCAAATTGGCATAACTTTATCCCCTCTCGAAATTCTGTCAAACTTATGGTGGAAGTAGGGCGATGGTCTACGGCATGCAGGATGACGCAAATCTGTCGTTACCTGTGTTTCCAGCTCCATTACTTTTTGGCGCATTTCTTTCAGTTCCGCAACTGTGTCCGCTTCACGGATACGCACGCCCATCAGTTGATCCTCTAGCTCCTTCACTGTTATGCAGCCTGAATTTACAAATGTAGCAAAGCATGAAAGCGTCAAACTAGAAGCAATTATTAGTCCACTTATAAACCCACAAAGTCGCGCAAGATATCAGAACCCCTCTCCTTCCTCTTCACTCTTCGATCCCCGCTCCTCCCCAAATTTCATTCTGTATTAGA